CTATAATAAGACTAGAAAATTAATCGTATGATCGAACTTAAAATTTCGCATGTAAAACTGTGTCGTGTAAAGTTAGTTTTACTATAATTGCGAGAATAAATTGATTGGATGTGCAGAAACAATTTATAAGCACATCTTCGTAAAACTTGAAACCAAAGCTATTCTCTTTCTCACGAAAATTGTAATAATCGCGATGTATATACTGTAGTTCCTTATTTCAACTCTATTCTATATTGCAAGTTAGGAGGTATCTCGTTCTTAACTAGAACCCAATCCTCGTCCTCGAGTGTGGTTGATATTAAAACTTCATTTGGTAAAACTGGAAATATATGTATTTTCAATCTTGCTCTATACCGAAAAGCGTCACATATATCAAAAATTAATTGTACTTACTATCGAACTCAACTTCTAATTCATATTTATCCATACGTGTTGTCGCATTCCTTTCGTCGACGTAACTTTGCTGCATAGGTTCGTTTAATTTATCTTGTAAAAGTTTCTTCCTACATTCGCCTAGATCTTCTAATTTCTTTAATTCAGTCTGATAGCTAACGTCTTCATCTCCAGATTCAACCTCTGTGTGATCACTCTGCTCGTACTCATCTTGCTCTTCTCTTTTCTCTTCCAGAGGATCACTGAATTGCATTTTAGGATCAATATATGTGACTACATCAATAGACTGAGACATATTTGAATTCGTGGTACTGATTTGACTGCTCGTCATATACTTTGACAAATCGAAATCGAGAACATCGGCCAAAAGCTTTTCTTTATTTTCTACATCACGCTGAATCGATTCAAGATTTCTTTCTGTTTTTAATACGAAGTGATCGTCGGCACTAAACTTCAGTGAAGAGGAATGCGTTGTTTTTGCCTCGTTGGCATTTATTGTATCCTTATTGAAGGCAGCTAAATCAAAATCAATAGCAGATAACGATGAACTATTTTCGTTTCCATTAATTAGCCTATTACGCGATTTTTTTATTTTTCTATCTGGAGTGAATACGACATCTTCAAATTCTTGTTGACTAATTTTTTGAAATATTTGTCTTCTATCATTATGCTCATCGTTTTGTCCTCTTCTCTTAGAAATATCATTATGCTCCGTTATTCGACTAGTGTCTGTTATTAACAAAGAATTTAAATTGTCTGTTATCTCTGGGGCTTCGACAGCTTCCTCTGCGTTCGCAATTGAAGTTACGTCAGTACCAATAGCAACGACTGGCACAATACTAAAAAACGATATATAATTCTTAATACAAAAATTCTTATATTACGTTTTTAATAAGAAATTTTGCCATTTCAATACTTTACCCAACAGACTGGATAATATTACTAGGATTGATCTTGTGAAAAGGAATAGCTGGCACTATTGTACTTTCCTTTAATTTTGAAGTCAATTCCAGTATGCCATTGGTAACTGGTTTACTAATTTCAGCAAACGATAGTAATCCAGGATCTAATGGATTTTTCGTTTCTAAAAGACGTACAGATTTTTATAATTCAAATAAAATACTAAAAAATTGTTCAGAAGAAATATTTACCTGATGAAAACATGTTAGTTTCCGGATAATATGCAATACGTATTATGTTCCGTTCTCCTTCCAATACAAATATTTCGTCATTAGTACAAGCGACATCAGTAACACGCCTCAGGTCTGTTACAATGGATGTTATAGCAATGGTTTGCGGATTTACAACGTATATAATATCGTCGCTGTACGTAACTAATAAATCATCGCAAAAAGGCAAAATAACGCCGAACGTGGGCTCTCCACGATTTTTCTTCGAACTCTCTGGCGCTGGATTTAGGAGTTCTACTTCTGTATGGCTAGATTGAACAGCGTCCTTAAAAATAAGTGTTTTCAACACAATTCCCGACTTATCAGCTTGCCACAATCGTAATCCTGGCCTACTAGCATATATCGCTACGTCCTGTACATAATTTTGTCTACAACCAAACACGGCACCTAATTTTCCTAATCTGGAACATATGTACAGTTTTATTGAAATCGTTACAACTTGTAAAATAGTCAATACTAATTCCATATGATACTAACATTTTACGTTCCTTTTGACCGACTTGTATTACTTTTCCGTTCTCATTTCTGTTCACCAATATCGTACGTAACGTTGTAGAAACTAATAGTAATCCTTGGTGGTAGCTTAACTGCACCACCGCGTATTTCTCATTTAATAATTCTGATGATTTTGACAAATGCTGTTACGAACAATCGATGTGAGAGACAAAAATATATAAATAAAGAAATATCGTTATTACTTGTTTAAATTGCATACCATGTAAAAGTCTATTTCGGTAAGAACGACCAAACCATCTTGATCTCCACTGAACAATTTCATACCATTTTTAGACCATTCAACCGTCGTTACTGCACTATTGTGCAGACCACTTATGCTATATCTTTCTACTTGTTTCTTCTGCTTCGGCTTTAAACTATCCGGCAATGAATCTGGAGGACTTTTGGGTATTTGAAATACTGTTACTACTCCATGTTCATTACCAGCAGCTACCATATAATCGACTGTTGATATTACTTGAACACAAGTAATCTTGGAATTAATATTCTGCAAGTATGAGTAATATTACACACGGATAAGAAGCGATATCGACAGTTTACTTAAAGATCTTATAATACCTCACATCGGAGCCTTTGAAGATCTTGCTTTATCCTGTCAAACCAATATACTAATCCGTGATTAGTCCCAATAGCTATAAACTCAGGTACGGCATCAATACAGGTAAAATTGATATTATGTGTAAAAATCCCGTTTTGAATCTTCGCAGGTATTTGTTGAAGGAGCACAGCGAGGGGTGCCCATTCTCTTAAAGTACCACCATCCTCACACATAGGTGTTGTCATTGTGAATGCTATATTGACAAAATTATGCTTGTTTTATTCAACAATCATTATACACGAACAAACAATAAATGCAATTAAAAATAAAAACGGTAGCTACGGAAAGAGATGCGACAGACATAATCCATAAAAAAGTCACTTGACGCACACTTTGTGACATACAATTACCTCGTGCATTTGCATTGTTAGTGATAAATAAGGGTAGGATTAATTATAACACATGCATAAGCGGCACTCGTAGTAGATTTATTGCATGACAGATCGGTTTACCTTCTTCAAGGGTTAATGTGACTTACGGACACTTACGGAAAGCGTGAAAGCAGTTGTATTACTTTTATTTTAACATATTTCGGTCAACAGTAACACCGCACTCACATTAAATGTAATCATAATAATAGTTCGTTTATCAGTTAACAATTCGGTAGAAACTGACAAGATAACACTGCACGCTACTGCACGCCTTCGACTGCCATAGACCACGTCACGCATAGGATCGTATTGAATGCATCGCAGAACTATTTGCATATGCATGCATTTATAAACATGATTGGAACAAAAATCTGTACTTTCTAGATACGTAATTCAGATTTTCTTAAATAAAAATTCAACATCTTACAAATGCATGTTCAATAGCGCATGATATTGCAATTAAAGGATAAATTACACTGTAGAAAAAAGTACGATTATATGTATATAGAAACTGAGAGTATTGTATAAGGTTTTGTGCATATTTATTTATTGCATCAATAATGCAAAAGAGACATTTTTACCTGAAACCTCAAGGTCGGTAGATCAAAACGTCGATAACATCGGAATTCACTTCCCGTACGATCGACAACTGTGAATTACTCATTCGTTTCCGTTCTCCGTTCCTTACAAGCAATACATACATACACAAAAGAAAACGTTGACAAACTCGCTTTTACTAGAAGCATTGACTCAGAATTAAAATATTTTAATACATACTCTTTTTACACATAAAATCAATAAAGAAAATATAGAAAATAATAGAAGCAAAAATTTATTTTGCATATAAAACGCTTGTTCGACTTATCATATACAAATGATTATTACTAATTACGTGCTTCTTTTTCATAACAAATCAAACAACTGAATTTCACACGGCGTTAGGATAATATGGGACTTACTAACGGGTTCTTTTTCTCGAGAAGTCATTATGAAATGAATTTAATTTAAACATTATACAGCCGATGACAAAGGTGTAATGCTTTCATTCTTACTGCCTGACTGGTTGTAAACTGCTATTCTTTTACAAATATCTTATAATTATAATAATAGTATAAT